TAGGAGAGGAAACATCCCCCAATTAGGGTGGTAATTATGAGGTAGATGTCACCCTTAAACTTTAGTGGTGCACCCTAAGGCGATGCGAAGGTGGAGGAGGAAAAAAGACTTCGCGACTCGAGAGCGACGCCTGAAAATTAATTTTCCTATCGCCTGAAAATGCCTCCCCCCCAAAAAAAAAACTGGGACAACGAAGAGTGAATAATTTTACAAGATAAAAATAAAATACCAAAGAAAAAAAAATGCATCTCGTTTCGCGTCGCCTGGAAATGATGAAAAGAATGACGAAAGCTCGGGAAATTAAACAAGGGAGTTCCATATAATTTCTATGAATTTTGATTAACTAATGGGATAGTATAATTACGGTAATTTTGATCGGTACCCTTTGTCATGTAGGGAAGATCAAGACCGCAGGATCTCGAGTCCTGGGGTTCGGGTTACCGGGATTTCCTTCATTTCAATTGCAACGAGAATTGAATCGAGATTCATTACCCCTTCCAGGGTTGCATCTGCCTTGTCGTGCGCCCTTAATGAGCCAGAAACTCCGGGAATGCCGGGCACCGCCCTGTAATATTCAGGTGAAGATACGTACGCCGGGGGTGGAGTTTCACCCTCTATTTGCGCGGTGCCTCCCGATGATTGCGCCGAGTCTGGGGCTCTAATTCTCTCGGAAGCACTTGCCTCGAGTTACTTTCAGGGCTTGGAAATCGGACCAGGGTTGCAATTAACCCTTGGCGAATGATTTATAGTTTCGCACCCCCGTCGAGGACTCGGGGCCGAAAATCCAGCGGGGTTGAATTTTCCGTCGGATTTCATTTCTCGGATTTCAGGAGAGCCCTTTCATTCAAAGCCAGGCTTCAGCTAAAAATCTCCGAGGGTCCATACTTTTCAAAGATATGCAAACCATTTTTGACTTTCCCAAAAGTAACCGGGATGGAAAACTTTTTTACATCGGGCTTGTTAATTGAAAAGTTATATTCTAAATTCCTGGTAGAATTGATATACCCTATTTTTTAAATTTACCATTTCATTTCAAGGATCATCTCGAATGTCTCATTTCGGCGTAACGTTGCGTAGAAAAATTGTATGAAATTTCGGGAAAAAAAAAATGAACAGTCCATCGGCTGTTTCGTGAAATATTGGAGGGATTTTTCGGAAGCTCCCGAAGATAGTGCAATTTTGTAGGGTGGCAACTAATTTCGAGCTGTCGAAAGCATTAACCCTTGGCAAGTTTGGACCACCCCCGGGCTGTGTCAGGGTGCAAGTAATTCATTGTTAGTTTCTCATGACGTCGTCGATCTCCGCTTTAGACGAGCTTACGGAGTCGAGTTTTGGAGAGCTTTCGAGGAAACGATCCGAAGGATTACGTCTCGGCTTTGTTCGGCGAGGACCCACCGAGAAGCTCGACTTGCGAGGAAGAGCGACTTCCTCCGAGGAATCATCCCCATTGGGGAAGAATTATCCTTTCAGGACATCCATCTATAATTGCCAGAGGACCCAAGAGCTCCCAAGAAATTCTCCCCAGATCCTTCGAAAATCACCAAATCCCCTTAAACCGTACTTGAACATTTCCCAAGGCATCTCCACCTTAACCGATAATTTCATTTCTTCTCCTAAAAATTCCCAAAATATTTACGGGTAAAAATGTCAAACGATCAGGTACATCCAGAAAAGTCTCATAAGCGATCGACCCCTCGGAGGCCACTTTCCCCTTAAGTCCGATAAATCTTCCGAATTTTCGCAGCCGCAATTGGGCGCTAATTGTGCCCATAATTATGAAAGTAGTCTAAGTCATATATTTTTTGTTTCGAAATTACATTGAATTAATTTCGTTTGAAATAATATGGCGTGAAATAACTGATAATCTCATTTTTTTTTAATTTTGACTTAGACCACTTTCATAATTATGGGTACACGGACGAATGGGATAATTAATAATTGGGATAATTAATAACCCTTCGAAAATCACCAAATCCCCTTAAATCGTACTTGAACATTTCCCAAGGCATCTCCGCGTTAACCGATAATTTCATTTCTTTTCCTAAAAATTCCTAAAATATTTACGGGTAAAAATGTCAAACGATCAGGTACATCCAGAAAAGTCTCATAAGCGATCGACCCCTCGGAGGCCACTTTCCCCTTAAGTCCGATAAATCTTCCTAGGCGCTAATTGATCGGAATTAAAGGCGGCCGATCGGACGAATGGGATAATTAATAATAAAGTTCGACCCCTTGGCTCGTTGCGCGGTCGATAAATGCAATTTCCCCCGAAGGGCGGGAGCTTATAGAAAAAGTTTCCTCGAGCTTGCGGCCGGTAATCGGTCCATTAATTCTGTAATTAAATCGCATAGTTTAGCCGGCTCGCGGATGTGGAGTTCCGCCCGGCGGTTATTGTCTGGACCACCGAGGGGAAACTTCGGAAACGTCTTTACTCTGGTCCACCTCCATTGTTGAGTCTCACGACAATGCTCGGTCAAGTTGACGGGCAATTTAGCAACGTCCTCCGCGTTTCCGGCTCTCTTGCGGTTTCCGCGTCGATCAGCTGATCGGAGACACCTCGTCGGCCGGGAAGGATAAAAATCCCAACCTGCGAGAAGAATCGATATTTTGGTATTTTAAGGCGTAGGGATTTTTTCGTAAAAACGGTGGATTACATTTTTCCGGGTCTACGAACCTTTCCTTTCCGCAGGAACTTAACGAATACCTTGCCAAGGGTTAATGACACCCCTGGGAGAGAAAAGACACGGAGGCTCGTAATTTATTCCCTCTTCTTAAAGGTATAAACGAGGAGCATTAATGCCGCCCCACGATCGGGGAGAGTCCTGGTCGTTATTGCAATTTTTCAAAGCATTATTCCCCCCGGTCTCTCCTTTGATTATGCCGTTGCATTATTTCCTTCCCTTCTTTCCTTTGGCCTAGACTCGGTTACCTCGTTTTAGCTTAATGGTACCAAGGTTCTTCTTCGGTTTATCCAATCAATATATGTCCGCCCCTCCACCCGCTCTCTAACTTTTCTTTAAAGAATTATTCCTTAACAAATTCATCGTGATATTCTAGATTATTTTCAGTAATATTTAATAATGGAATCTGTAGGAGTGATATTTTTCTTTTTTAATTTCCTGGGTTTTTTTATGTTTTAATCTTTCTCCTCGTTTCTTCTGAATTTTAATAACAACTTTAATGCCGCGAATTTCCAGATCGACCTCGTGGGTGATTAGAGAAGCCGCCGAGTATTTCAATTACGGCCCCCATTAGTTTTAATTAACAGTCCTGTCGGTGTAAAGTACAGGGCGCACTTCCCTCGAAGGTATTTTACAGTTTTCACGTTTACGTGGGAACCGGAGGGTGGAGGGATTCAAAGCGGGTTTCACACCTCTCGGCGGTCTACTTTGTGGCCGGGGAAGAAAAAGAAAACCCCGGCGAATGTGCTCGTCCTTTGGAGAAACCTTACCGGATTGCGCCGGAAAACTTTTCATTACCGCGCGAGAGTTTCCCCAAGAGAAGTTGGACGTTAATGAAGAGTCCGCGCTCTCGCGAGGCTGGAAACGTTAATAATAATTTAACGAGCTTCGACGGCTGTTTAATAAATTTCCCTATTTCCTCCCTTTCCCCCGTGCCATGAAATCGATATTTTTCCGGCCTCTATCGAGCTGCCTTAATTTTCGGGAATTTCCAACGAGGGCAAGCTGATTTGACGAATTTTTTTTGAAGCCTTAGTTTCGGCCCTTTTTTCTTTTATTTTCGAAGGAATTTTTTTGTCGCACTCTGCACGGATGAAAAATCCAAAAATGCGTAATCGAAGTGCAGCGTTAGTTTCGGCCCTCTTTTCTTTTATTTTCGAAGGAATTTTTTAGTCGCACTCTGCACGGATGAAAAATCCAAAAATGCGTAATCGAAGTGCAGCGGCTCGGCACCCTCGAAGGGACCGAGCAGGTTTCTGCAGAATTTTGAATAACAATCGGGCCAGGAAGTTACTAGCGTGGAAGCAGCAGATTGCCAAAGTTTCCCGGGGAAATCCCCGGGAAATTGTTCCCGCGAAGGTCCCGGGGGACTGGGAACATTTGTCATCGGGATCGGATCCTTTCACCCTATCGGTTTCCCGTCAACGTCACCGGGCAACTCCATAATTAGGAACTCCGACGACTCAGATCGGGGATCTCGAAGTTCGGGAAAGGTTTTTCCTCCTACTTCCCTTGAGTGGCCGAAGATAAGAGGGAGTCCAATTTTTCCGTCACATCTGGGAGAAATTTCAGAATTTCAGGCAATCTTTCACCCTTCAAACGACCAGGAGGAAACTCCAAAAGGAAATCGATTGTGAAAATGGAAAAAGGAGGAAGAGAAAGTGAAAAGTTAAATTATTCCCGAAAGGGGGGAAATGCGAGATGTAATCATTCGTGAAAGAGAAGAAGTGAATTCCCGAAAGGGAAAAATGTGGGTGGGAATCTCCGCGGAATTTTCGAATTTTCCTGCACGCCCGAAGGTGGGAGAAAAATGAGGCGGAAGTCGAGGAACTCGGGGGCAAAATGAAGCGGAAGTGAGGGAAGTCGGGCGGGAAATGTCCCTTCCGCGATTCGCGAAACGCGAGGTTCGGGATTGTGCAATTTCTACGTCATCACGGGGGAGGAAAAACCCAGAAATGGGAGAAAATCCGCGGCCCTGCTCGGAAAACGCCGCCGGGATGAGGACCCCCGCGGCCCCTCGACCTCGCTGACCAACGACGGCACTTCCGGGTCGGAAAGTCGAGAGCAATGGCGCAAAAGTGTCGCGATAGTGCGACCGGTCTCGTTTCCGGGAGCTACGAGAGATCCGGCCCACCCCCTCGGGTCATTTGGGGAATCGTTTCATGAGGCAGAAGGCGAAAATCGCTGGAAAAGCCGGCGAAGAGGACGTTCCAAAAAAAAAAATAAACTCCTAAAAAACTATCGCGAAGATCCTCTACATACAATTTATTCATGACATATGTGCCCATAATTATGAAAGTGGTCTAAGTCATATANCAAGGGTTTATCCGAGTTCAATTTGACATTTTATCGCGAGCCTAAGTCGATGCAGTTTTTTTCGTTAACATCGCTCGGAAAGAGTGGGAATTTATGCCTCGACCCTGGTACATTAATATGTCTTGGTTGAAGGGTTAATTGGAGGAGGCGTCCTTTCTCTCGCGAAGGGAAAGTCCTCGGGCGGAAAATTCCGTGCTTGCCACTAACAGGGCTGAAGCCAGCCTCGCATAAATAATACATCGCAAGACGAAGTTATCCTTTACGCGCCGAGTAATTTGAAAGTTGGCCAATGGCGCCCTCGGCCCGGCTGCTCCTGACAGGGACCCCGGGTCTCGACGTTTTCCAACCCCTCGTCCCGTTCGGGGCACCGAACCGAATTAGCTGCCCACGTTACGGGATTTACCAGCGAGCCCTTGGGATTAACATCGGGCGATTACCAGGATGGAAAGGACATCCCAGGCCTCGCAAGAGACATTTGAAATACAAAAATGTTGGATTAATTGTCGACACGTGAATTCCCGACGACAGTCAAAAAGTGAGTCACTCGACGATACATGAAACATCAACTTAAGGTACCATTCCACTCGCAGACTATTAACATTTCGGCTAATGGACCGAAGATGTCCTTTTCTCATGCGGCCATCTTGGACAGGGACGAGGGAATCCGAAAAAACGAAACGAATCCTTCCTTTTGGCCAATTAACGAGCCAGGAGCGTTCCAGGGTCTGAAGTCGGTTTGCAGGTTGTCCTTTTAGGACTTTTTGACATCCGGATTTGCAGTGGTGCCGTTGACCGATGGAGGACGACGTCCCGTGGACCTCCGGTGTGCGAGGACACTTCTAAAAGAAAAAGAAGAGGAAATATTAGCCAATTAATTTTCCCCTCGCCGAGTAACGAAATCTCACGTTGAGCATTAAGATCCACGCCGGGGAAATCGCAATTTCGAGCGACCGCAAAACGGGGACGAGGCGGGGCTTTTAATCTCGCGATTTCGAGGAAGACACGCTCGGGAAACGCGGGACGCATTAAAGCGCCGCCATTTTGGTATCCGCGGGAATTATTATCCGACCGGCGAGTTATATGACGGGTCCTGCACCCCGGGTAAATTATTGCCCATATTAAAGTCCCCTTTTACGGCCGGCTTACCGTGGTATTAACGTATTACGGAATTAGCTCGAAAATTGAACGTTTGAAAAGTTACGAGGAGCTCGGCGGGCAGAAGAGAGAGAGGACGCCATGCGGCCGGCCGTGGGTGCGACGAAGAGGGAGATAGCCGTTTCCGACCGGCCGGGTTATATTCATGGCCATTAGTCCACCTCGTTACGGCGTTGTCGCCCTGCTTGCAAATTAATCGATATTGACGTTAATGCGGCTCGAACGAGAATGCACCGCAGTCCAAGTATTGGCGAATTCGAAGATTAATCGCCGGTCGTTTCGCTGGACCTTCAGGATTTCAAACCTGGACCTCCATCGACGGACTCGGCTCCGAGGACTCCGATCTGAAAATTAATGAATAATTGTCATTGACCAATTTACAGAGAAAAAAAAAATAAGTTAGGATTTTAAGGATCTTTTTTTACGGAATGTAAGATTTACCTAGGGTTGCGCTTTTACTTTTTTGATAATGGTGATTACAGGGCGCCGATCGTTTGATTTCATTTCAGACACCAGTTTTATTTGCACTCCCGGTTGGAGCTGGCCGAGGGCAGACTGAAGGCCTCCGATTGGTCCTCCGTGGCTCGATTGGTGGCACTGATAGCACAAGCAGAAGGAGGCGATTATGATCCACTTTTGCCCCCCCATGCCATCTACTCTCAGTGCTGCCAGATTCAACCAGCCAAGCCATGCGATCCAAAGCCTCAGGACTTTCTGCACCGAATTGTGCAACAGCACAAGGAGGTCAAGGTTCGTCGCTAAATTGGCACCCTGGCCCTACACTACTTGAAAATATTGAAAAATACCGAGAAAGTCCATAAGCTCGCAGCAAAATGATAAATTCCAAGTGCCAAATGTGGAAATTTATTTCCCATGGACTGATATATTAATTTATGATCTTATGACATTCTATGAGTTTCCGAAAATCCATGGGAAAATTACAATGAATTAGAATATCTAATTTCCTTCCCAGGGGATGAAATCCTCCACTGCGGAGTACTGGCTGCTGAAGGAGGTCTCCAATCTGGACACTTTCGGTCAGGAGATGTTCCACAGCAAATTCGGACACAATGGGGTGTCCATGATCGGCGTGGGACCCCATGGCATCACCGTGTACCGCGGCCAGGACGAGGAAACGCAAAAGTATGTCAAATTGTCGAGGACTTTCCATAAAAAGAGCGAGTCCGGAGGTTCCGGATAGGAATAAATAGACGGTCTCCTTGGATTACTGCCATTACCGTTACCGATCGGCTTAGCAAATCGGAACTCGATTTCTCTGGTGTCCCAAGGATACCCTTAAAATAAAGTGCACGTTTTAAATAATGCACCAAATGGGCACTTAATCGGATCGAAATAGCTTTCCGAAGGACAGAAACTGATCTAGCTATTCGGTTCAGATTTCTATTACCAGGACCCTATTTTTACTCACCGTGAGACGCGATGGGTTTTTTCATTTTCCAGCATACCGTACACGGCGATCCAGAGTGCGACGTCCCAGAGAAGGATGTTCCACTTGGTGTACTTGTCCCTGGACGGTGTAGAGACCTCGTTGGACTTTAAATTGGACTCCAGCCAGTCGGCCAGTGGCCTGTACAGGGCAATTACCGAAAAACATGCCTTTTACAGCTGCGAGACCGTCAGGAGTGCCGTCACCGCGCAGTTCATCCGCGACCTGAAGGTACGCCCTGAAAAATAAAATGACGCTTGAGGAATACATTCTTATAAATGATAATAATTACCATGCATTTCATTGGGTTGGCTAAAAAAGTCCTGCGACCCTAACGACACGATCCTGACATTATTTCCGATTATAAAAATACACCAGAAATGAGATTGAAAATATCGCAAGACTTTTTATCCAGGCCAATATTTAGTAAACGTTCGCATTATGCCAGAGGTTAATAAGTTCACGTCGATTTCCTTAGGGAACCATCATCTCGATATTCAACGAGGACTCGACGCTGGGGAAGAAGTACGTCTTCGACATCCGCAGGACCTGCAGGGAGGTGTACGACAACGCGAGAAGGGCCATCTACTGCGAAGCCGTCAGTTTAGGTCTCCCGGATGAGAACGAGGTCCTGGACCGGCACGAGTGCGGCGATTGCGAGAATCCCAAGTGCAAGGTACATCCTCGGGCAGGAACAGCGGAGATCTAATTAGACTCGTCTAAAAGGACGACTCGTACCCCTAGGATCCGGCGTTGAGGATAGAAAGAGGAATTACTGATAAAACTCGGCATCCCTCTACCTCCGTTCCTTCGTTCCTGGTCTCTCTCCAGTAATCCCATCGTCAGAGGCATGCAGCGGCAGAACCGTGCCCGTCGACCTGGTCGATGGGTCCCGATGCGTCATACCAAATGGTGCGTTTATCCCCCAGGAATCCCGGGAATGTCTGGCGAGGCTACTGGACGCGATGCTCTGTCGGATCTGCATGGACCGGACGTTGGACACGGCATTGTTTCCCTGCGGACACGCGGTCGCCTGTCTGGACTGTGCGAGGCGCTGCGAGAGGTGTCCTCTCTGCAGGGCAGACATAGACCACTGCAGGACCATCTACCTCCCTCTGGAGCTGACGAATGTCGACAAGCCGAATGCAAAAACGTCCCCCGATGGCTCCGTGCCCATCTTCGCGGCCAAGCCTGGCCCCGAGACGATGGCTCGGAGGATCCTGGCCAGCGAGGCCTCCGTCAACCCCGACATTTGAGAAATCCGGCCCAAGGGGAGATTCGTCGGCTTCGAGAGGATCTTCCGGATGTTCTCCTGTCGCCTCGAGAGGGCCTTCTAAAAAATCCCCGCTCCGGGTCTTCGCAACCTTCCGAGACAAAGTGGACCCCCAGCGGACCTGGAAAACACGGGGAATTAGTGGCCGGTCGCCGGAATCGATGATCGGTTGGCGTTCTTTCTTTCTTTAGTATACCTTTTTATTCGTTTCCTGAGGTGAAGACGTCGAGTGGGCCGCGAAAGAACTGGTGCTGCTCTCTGGAAGAGGAGGAGGGAATTTATTGATCACTTTTCGACGTCCTGGTTCTTGGTGGAATTTTCATTTTTTTTCTTTCGAGCCCTGGTCTGTCGGAAAAAGGATATGGGAGATTTTTTCATTTAAGGAATTGTTTTAATTAAGTGAGAACCAACCTGGGTGAACGGTCGCTGGTAATTCAGGGATCTGAATGGCCGAGCTTTGGAAAGACGAGGTTTTTTTATGGGGTGTATCGACTGCATGAAATTCCGGCTGCTGGTACTCCTTCGACCTAGGATGACCTTGGTATCTGAAATGCGGTGTGAAAAAGAAAATGTTAATTTCGTCTTAACTTGGCGTTTAATTTAATTATGGGATTTTAATATTAGACGTCTCGGTCATCCTGGTTTGAATAAATCATTTGATATCGGGATTCTCCGGTTAAACGAAAGAAATTCCATTTTCGGAAATTCCAAATTCTATCCTTCTCCAGATGGGCGCACCTGTTTTTTTTTCTTTCGCTTACTCTAGGTCGATGAGTTTTATTTTTTTTTTTTTTTATTTAGAGCCACCACCGAGGAGCAGTGAATTTTGGACTGCGTTTTCAAAAAGAGAACAACCTCCTGCGGCAATTTTACATTCCATGCCGTCGAGAGGATGTAGATTTTTCTTTTCGGGATATTTCTCCTCTCGTATTTTGCGGATCATTCTAAAGGAACGTTTAGCTTATTCGAAAGGGAAAAAAAAAAGAAAAAGAGAAATTCAGCAGTTTTTAGTTTCGAGGAGTCGGTTGAAATGGAATTCACCCGCTCCAGAGTCGGAGAGTTTTACCGTCGTGGATACATATGGTATACAGACACGTAAAAATGCTTTTTCAATGATCCGGCTATCACGCAGGGTGCCTTGTGGATCATTGATATCATTCTGAAGTATTTAACGTATAACGCAAGCATCGAAGCGATCGGATAGTTCCAACGACAATATTAACCCGAGAGCAGTGCCCGTCATTTTCCCAGCTGTAGCTTGAAGCTCGAAATTTCGTTTTTTCAGCTCCTCCCAGAAGGAGGAAAAAAAAAAGAAATATAAAAAAGTATTATCATCTAACGAGCGCGTCGAGTGATCGAAAAAACTGCAAAGGGCGCATCTCGTCAAGATCAAGGAGCGCCTTCGATCAAACGCAACCGCTTATCATCCTCCCACTCTCTCTTAATCAAGGAAAATGTTTATAAATTATAACAATGCCAGAACTTGGGAATTTTACGTTGCACCGGCTTTTTTGGTATGAAAGGAAAATCCGGCACGGGAAGAAATCATTGAAAAATGAATTTGTATTTAGAAAGGGAGGCGATTTGATAAGGCTGGGAAAAATGGTTAATTGTAGGAAGTCGCTCCTTGATCAGGGACGACCTGGGATCGCCACGTAAATGAAATCTGCGTCGCAAATTGCGGGTTTGCTCGCCGAAGAGCAACGAAAGGAAACAGTGCACTCGAGATAGAAGAGGGAGAGAGAGAGTGGAATAAATGGACGCCTATCGGTGCCACCAGCAACGAAGCTCGCGGGAGCGCCCGATGACCGCGGATATTTGGCCAGTTCCCGAATCGATGATAACGGCGGAATCCGAGCCAGCGAGTGGGAGGGTCTTATCGACGAGCGATAAACGGACCAACAGGTGGTTTCGGCCCGGAGGTCGATATATTTCTGGGGGATTTCGCGAACGGCCGCGCCGCTCCGGCTCGGTCTCGCGCTTTTCTCCCCGGGGTCCGCGGATTCGGACCCGGGGGGAAGAGGTCGGTGGTCAAGGGGTCAAGGGGTCTATCGCACCAACTGACCCTTCTTATATTTAGTACAACATTCGAGTATGTTGTTCGCGATAGGCGTGCGGACGTCGTTTGTAGAATCTCCGTTCGCGCGACGAATTAAGCGGCCGACTGGACGGCCGTTTCCGTCGAGGGCAGGGGTCGCTTTCGTTGTTTTCGTCATTTTTCTCATATTTCCCACATTTGCCCCCCTCGTCACTCCCCTCTCTCACTTTTGTCACTTTCGTCATTTCGCCGCATTCGTCACTTTTCTCGCTCTCGTGGCTTTCGTTGACCCCGCCGATGCCGAGCCGTCGCTACGGGTGTCGGTGTCTCTCTCTTCCCCACTACTCGCGGCATGCGTCGCTCTCGCTCCCACTCGTGGGATCCCTCCTGGATGGACGGCCATCCCGTTACTCTTTATCAATGATTCATGCGCAGCTTCTTTGTCGCCGGAGTTGAAGAGTACCATGAAAAGTGACCTCATTTGTTCTCACGGAATCGTGCTTCTGGTTGGTCCTCGACTTCAAGGGGGATTCCCGTGAACTGTAAACGATTTCGAGGATTAGTCGGGTTTCCATTTATTATCTGGATTTTAATACAGAGTCGAATGTTAAATAATGAGAAATGGTCGCGGCGTTCTATTAGGCGGTCGGATTCTTTCACTTCGCCGTGGATAATTGGATAATCGAATTCGGGGGAAATCGTTACGTTGTAAAATGCCTGCGATATGTTTTCCTGGCTTTTCGACGGCGACGTTTACTTGGCGAAGTCAATTTTCAATGTTTATTTAAGACAAGAGAGAGAGAGAGAGAGATTCGGAGTTCCGCGCTCAAGTAGGAACCATCCGATAGGAGCAGAATTCAACTTCCTTTACCATGGAAACGCCGGAGGGAATCCTTCCAGTGATTTGTCGTTCTTTGAAATTCACATATTGTATTTTTTGTACTTTCTTATTAATACACACGATAATAATATTAGTAATAACGATAATGTAGAGCGTATATCGAAGCGCGGAGAAGTGTCGTCTCGAGCGGAAACGCTGTCGCCGCATTTTCTGCGAATGTGGAGAAAAGCAGCAACCTGAGAGGAAAAAGTTCGAAACAAAAATTGTCCTACGGTCCTTCCTAGGTAACTTTTATAGGAGAGATTTTTTTTCTTTTGCAAAGCGCAACAGCAGAAAACGCCAAAATACGACACCCTAACGAAACGGTACCGCGTTGCGACCTCTCGGAGGTAAATGAAACTTTCCACTTTAACTAAACCCGATATGGAAAAAAGTTTCGGACAAAGTTTCATCTACTTTTAATGCCGAACAACCTTTGTGAGGAGCATTTCCCTCCATGTTGCACCGTTTGGTCAGAAAGTTGGATTCATCTCGCACAATGGATAACGTTTTCGCTCGGCGGGGCGGAGAGGAAGCACCGAGAGAGGGGGTCTACGACTCGGTCGTTAAATTTTTCTTGGGACGTCGCTTATATCAATAGCGTACATTATTACCGTAATATCTGTTTATACGTATGTACATAAGAACTATAAGCGGTCGGATAACCTCCGTTGGGGTCAAGAAATGTGAAAGGCCTCCAAGGTTCGTCTAATGTCAGATCCGATTAACACCGACTAGCTGCACGCCAAGATAAACTCTTTTGCACGAGACACAATAAAACCACTGCGAATCCATATAACGCGGTTATACGCTACGCAAAAGGACGAACTTTAATGCGAAACCCTGGTGATCTTTAATCTCTAATCTCTTGTGTTTGCGCCGACACAAAGTTGACTTTGTATGTTGAATTCTCCGGCCGATTGGGAGTCGCTGCCTCGGAGAGAACAGCTGATCTACTTTCGGTCCTCGGAATATTTTTTTTTTTTTTTAATACCTCTGCGCCCGATTTGTACCGTTTTCTTGCATCCTGAATAAAGGATCGCGTTAAGTTTTACATTTCTAGATATTTTGAGGATACCTCTGGGTGGAGCCTCGATTTTTAACAATTTTTTAGAGGCTCGTCTTGCGTGTCAAATTTCCCAAAATGAGGCGTCCTCTTGAAAGGTAAAAAGATGATAGTCGCACATCTCTCGAATCATTAAGCGGCATGCAAATACTGGCGAAGAAAGGAGAGAGAGAGAGAGAGAGGGTAGAATGTTCTCCCAATTGTTATAGTCATTCATCAATGCAATGTACACCTAGTTTTTAATATTATTTATAAGAGAAAGGCACACACAATGTGTTTGCATTTACACGCGACTACGTAAGAAAGTACTGCTCCGAAAGGGGTGCTAGATTATTTATTCTACGTGCGAGATACGATTTATTTAATCCCTGGTTTTGTAAACGAGAGAATAAATATCTGTATCAATGACGTGTCTATTTCCAGAATGTCCTTTTATCAACAAAATATTAATTTCTTTCGTATTTGCAATGGTTTCTCCGATTCTTTTTTTTTTTTTTAACTACATTATTTTCAAATTCACCGGCATATTCTCTCCGAATAAATTCCCTGATCTGAAAGATTCCATTATGAGGTATGCCGATTGATTTTCCCGTTTATAAAACCAGGTTTCATTTAATTTCTAGGGAATTTCCCCAAGGCTCTCGGTATTCGGTACGAGTGCCTTGATTTCTAGTCGAGTGCAAATGCGATAGATGTCCCAATGTAAGGAAGGAATAAATCTCAAGTGAAGTGTTTCAATGGAAAGTCATTGAGTCACGTTAATCACGGGCAAAGGATCCCTCTACTGATTTTTCCTAAACTCAGCCTGAATCACTGTAAACGAATGTTTAATCGTATCGAGTAGGCTAAAAAGACCTGCAACACTGACGGTACAATTTTGAGATTTATTATCATTTATTGGCTTACAATTTCAATCCCCGATTCCCCATTTATATGATCTGTGTCCACTTATGGGGCAGCTCCTCGACGCCTCCCTGCTAATTTTCATGAAATTTCCAAAATGAAATTAATAAAGGTGTCGCAGGACTTTCCAGCCAATAAATAATTAAATAGTTATTCCGAAATCTCACCGAAGCAAGGTCGGGAGCGCCGAAATACCCAGGAAAAATCGCCCCTCGAGAACAGTGGACTGAATTCTGAAACCCCACGAAAAGAAAAGAAAAAAAAAAGATATCTTTGTAATACTGCGTGTCTATGCGATAACGATAAAGGCTCTACCGGTAATAACGAGGATACACGATAAACGCACTTCTTGTGATTATATCTCTGTATAAAACGCATTATTAGTATTTAATATAGGACGTTGAACATGCATATATTCTCGAGAAGTCATAGCGTCTAGCTCCGCGTTCGCAACGAGAGAGAGCGAGATAGATAGATAGGCTAGGAGCAAAGCGAGAGAGAGAGGAAGAGAGATCGCAAAGCGATGCGTACCCGAATAGATTGCCGTTTGCAAAGAGTATTTTTAAAGTATTTCCAATTATTTTTTAGTATTATATCAGGACCCCACTGTCAACAGTGGCACGTATACATATTATACATATGAATATAAATATATTACACCATGTGAAAAACACCATACGAAAATATAACGAATAAGGATATCGTATGCAAGATGTTCCGGAGATTAAATATCGTCGAACACTAATTATTCGTTTGTCTGGTTTCCTTCCCCAAATGACGTATCTTAAATATTAATTATACCTTCCTGCCTCGACGTATTTCCACTGCAGGAAGCATCGCGCTTCCTTCGACAGAATTTCCTGTTTCTAAGAATTAAAATCTTCTGAAATGACAGCGAAAGATCGAATATTACCCAGAGGACCTTTCTCGAAATAAATTCAAACCAGCTGACGTAACTCCCCCGAAAAGGGCATTTCACTAACCTTTCCTTCGCCGATTACCTCGGAGTTCGGTGCACTAAATGCTCCCTCAAGTACCGTAATATCTGGTAATAACCACGAAACGTAAATATCGTCGAAGAAATGCCGGCGAAGCTCGAAGAGCGAGTAATGGGTCGAGTGGCCTCGCGGCGAGATGCGACTTTTTCCTCGGCGTCCACGAGGGTGTCGTCGGTTCAAATTTCCGCGCGCTCCCGGCGGCGCTGGTGTCGGGCCTGGGGAGAGGCTCCGCGCACGCGCCGCGCGCCATGATTGGTCGGCTCGGCCGCACGGTCACGTGACTCCGGCGCAAGGGCCGACGGGTAGTCTCTCTCCGAATCTCAAGATGGCGGCGAAGTGAGGCGAAGTCGCGGCGCCGTACCCACGACGTAAAATGCGCTTCTCCTAGTGGCCCCCGAGTACTCCCCCGCGTTCCTGCCGGTGCGTTCGGAGGTGGCGCGGCTAGGTTAAGATCGTGCCGCCCTCGATGATGCCGGCCTCGAGGGTTTGCGCTGCGCCGAAGGTGACACCCCGCGAGTTGGCGCGGCGACTTCGCACGAGCACGTATGGCAGAGACTAGAGTCCGAGATAAGGGAGCCCCTGCGTCCCCCGAGCGGTGCGCATCGGCCGGAGGAAGATCGCTCCCGAGGGGAGCTATGTGGTTAACCTCGCGACGGATCGCCTGCAAAAACGTGAGTCCACTTCTCGAGAGACGGTCGCCTCTCTAGAGAGCCCGCTGCCCGTGCCGAGCGCGTATTTCGGTAGCCACGGCTTCCTTCCTCGGTTTCCGCCTTCTCCACGGCGAGTTCCTCGCCGCGGAGGCTCTCGCCGTTTGCTCGAAGGAGGTTAGCGAGCCCCGAGAATTCTTCGCACCGCGGAGCGCCGGTGTGGCGCTCCTAGACACGGATTTTCTCGGCCCTTCGGGTACCCTTCCACCATTGTGCTCGCGAGATCGAGCGACGTTCCTTTTCGCTTGAAAATAGGGTCCCTGTCTCGCTTGGCCAACGCCTCGAGTTCCTTTCCAAGCCTGGACTCTCGAGGACGGCTCTCGGAGTGCTTTCTAGACCGTTCCAAACCTCGAGGTCCGCCGCGAAGGCGGCGCACGGCCGTGGGATTTGCACGGGGTGAAACCTGTTATTTCGATTATTTCCTAGAGCTTCTACACTAAATTCCAATCCATTGTGGCACTTTCTATGCTTTTGGGCATTTCTTCTCCTGCTTTAAATGGTTTCCTGGAGCTTAAATCACTGAAGGAAATTTCTATCCTCGTGAGTAGTCCACCGCCAGTTCCAGAGTAAACCTCTTCGGCTTGGTAGGTGTGCTATTTTTGATAGGTTAGCGATTCTTGAATTCTCTTTGAAGATTTGAAAAGATGCCTCGATGGTCTGAAAAATTGATTGTGGAGTTATTAAGGTATGTCGAGTGACATTTCCTCCAAAGGAGTTCCAGCTTTCGATGCGCCTTCTGTTTGCATTTGAAATAGCTACAGAATGTCAAGGCGGTACACAAAACCTGCCTCGGTAGGTGCTAATTGTTCACTGGCATTATTTGGAGAGCTCGTGTTTTGTGCTTAAAGCCTGCTATTCGGTAACGGTTACTAGGTTATTCCTTTGGTTACACTAAACGAATTAACCTTTGCATGTCTGTTGTAATTTTACTGTTCATCCGAGAGCAGAATCTGAAATTGATGACAGCTCAACCCAAATCTCGATGGCATGCGAGATTTGTTTGTCTATTCTTCTTTCCGGTCATCGTTCGATGTTATTCTTTGTTTGGGCACATTGTAACGCTGCATTCTTTCTGACCACTGTTCGAAGAACGAGGTCACAGCTGCACCCGAATAAGCTCATTTGCATACAATAGGACCTCTAAGAAGTATGAAGTACTATTCCTCCGCTCCAGGATATCCCGCACTATTTTTAAAAAAAGTATCGATAGATCATTTAAAATATAACATCTCGTTAAATGAGTTTAGAAGGAAATCGTAGATGCATTTTTACCATCTTAATAGGAAAGCTCAAGTTACCTTTTTTTCCAGGTGTGTGCGAGACTGAAGAGCTCCGTTAATTTCTGTCCCTACTGATTGTACAGTACCTGGTACAACGAGACGCTATAAGAGGATTGTGAAGAGACTCGATGGTTTCCTGACACGATGGACAGCAAGTTGTATGTAAAGAACGAGCTGGGACTCGAGGGGCAATCTCTGGGAAATCCGCAGGCCAATCCACTGTCTGCGGATGACGGAGGAGGAGCCCGGATATGCTTTGTCTGCGGCACCCTGGGCCATGGCGAGCAGTACTGGCTACGAGTCAAGCCAACTCCGGGTGCCGCGCCCAACGAGCCGTACTTCCCCTTCCTGGAGTCGCACGAGCCACCGGCTGGGTATCGAGGCGAGGGTGTCAGGAGCGGAGCTGTCAAAGCATGCAGCCTCTGCTACGCTCTGCTCCTCCAACAGTGGGAAAGCTATGAACGAGATGCCAGACCACACAGCCAGCGGATTTACTGGTTGAAACGTTGCGACGGAGGGCCCTTCACCGGGGCAGAAATGGCCCTCCAGGGAGAGTACGCGGCCCAGGTCTTGGGGTTGACCAATGACCAGCCTCCGCAGACCAGACAGGAGAGCAGGCCTGTCGGGATCTCGCCAAGACTGCCTCCTAATTCCCCGTCTCCTAGGGTTGAACAATCCAGGCCACCGTCGAACTCCATCGATATACCTCGACCTCACTCGAACACTGCAGAGGCACCCAGACACCTGGAGCAAGCGAGGCTCACCATGGAGTCGCCGCACCAGAGGCTGCAATCTCCTCATCAAAGGCTGCAAAGTCCTCGACAAGCTATCGACGAGTCCCGGATCTCCTCCGAGGCTGCTCTGGACTTGCGACATGCTCCAAGGAGCTCGCCTGCTCCACAGCCGAGCCTTCCACCGCAGCCTCAAGGTGAAGATTTCATTTTTTTCTCCAGGAATGGATCTTTGTATTCGTATCTTCGCCTGTATTTTTTTTTTTGTGTGGAAATTTTGCAAGTGATATGTGTTTAAAACATGGGGAATGTGGAATTTTGCCTTTCACCGCAACCTCGAGACGAAGATTTCATTCTTGCTCCAGGGGTAGATCTTTGCATCTTTATTTGGTTCATCTTCTTCAATGGAACGTTCACGTGTATATCTGGTTTAATTTTTTTTTTATGGTTCGCTACATGATTAAAACGTGGGAAAGAAATTTGTGCAGTGCTGGGCAATGACATATCGTATTTGTCTCTTAGTTCCCGGTGAAGTGATCATTATGGTATTATTGCATCAAGTTAAATGATTAAGGCTCCTCTCAATGAGAGGATGCAGAAATTATGTTTACACCAGACATCAGTAATGGATACGATACTTGGCACTTGCAGCCTGGTGTGAACATTCTGTTGCATTGCTAATATTAGATCCGAATCAATGGGTGGAATGGGTCATTTTTTGCACTTATGAACAGAGATGGTGAAACTCTAATTTACTCGCTTGTTCTCTTTGACATTAATTACTTGCAGACTAGTCCAAAGACTACGGTTAAAAATATTTGTTCATTTTAAAATAATTACTGAAGTAGCGTTAAAGTCAACTTAAGGGCGCGTTAACTCGAGGTAATTGTCGTGTCAATTAATACAGACTAAATTCAATTAGTTCCATAGGCGTATAATTTTGACACTTTATCGGGACAATTAGTATGACAACGTACACTAATGAAACGTACCTTAGCGCGCTTATACCGAAGTTTTGTAATAAGTTTCATTGAACACCAAGTCGAGACACACTAATACCTAGTTATATAACAGTAATCTCTTGCTGTAAAAAATCCCCCTTACGTAATCTGGCAGAAAGTGAGTACTTGTTAACGTTTCATTCGAGTCCCTTGTGCTTTAAAGCTCTTACGAGGTGGGAGTTGGTGTTTTAAAATTTTTCTCCGATGCTTCATAGAGACGTACGGAGTTGCAAGAATTTAGATCAGCTTAATAAATGTAGGTATGTACGGTTGACATAATGTGTAATTAATTATATTGATTCTGATTGGTGAAAGAATACCTTAAAGTGTGCGGATTTTTTAATTTTTCTCTTTCGTTTTCCTCAGATCGTTTACAGGAAAGCGTTTAACTTGTCAGTCGATGATTCTCGACGAACTCGACCTCTGGCTTGGAAAAAAAAGTCTTGTGAGAGATCTGAATGTGAGAATTAGTACGAAGCAGAGTAGAATCTCCCTAATTATTGAGTTGACCTGTCGGGTTTAATTGGATGTTTATCTGGGGCCACCAGGGTCAACTCGTTGCCATAATTCCGAGATGGTCAAAGAATGGCTTGTTCGCTGCATCTAAGTAAATGGAACTCAACTAGCATCTCTCTGAAATCATCTTTCTTAAATGATATCGGACTGAGAACTTCCCTTCGGTCTTGGCTCTTACTGACCTCGTGTCGTGGTAGGAACTGAGGAGCATAAAATTGTAAAAGCACTTCCATGGCCCGAACAAGTACATTTTGCATTACTGTTAGACATGTTAAATACTTTAATTCTTCTCCGATGTTTACTCATACGATGCTTCAAAATCAAACTCGAACGGGATTGGCCTGCAATGCTCATTGCATAAACATTACTTTCGCCCCCAAAAACCATCAATATGTACCTTCAAAAAATTATTATTAGCCTCCATGCTTTCTCCGAAAAATTCATAATTCATGTCACGTCTCCACATAGTCATGGATCGAATATCAAGTATTTACTATCGAGGCTTAAAAACTGTAACTTTTATTGATTATTATTTACTCGGGATTATATTTTTCATGTCATATGTTATTCTTTAAGACAAGGCATATCTAGATATGTAAGCTAATCGGTGTTCTTCTTTTCTTTTCTGTGGAGATCTCCGAGTCTCGAATAAGATATTAGTGATTCATTTCGTGCAGTGCGACTTGACGTGTCGAATGCAAAGTGTCTATTAACGGAGCTATTGACTCGGACTACCAAAAAGACATTTGTTTACTAAAGCTGAACGTGATTTGGACGTGGTGGCATTTCAGCGAACGGTTCTTCCTCTTTATCGACATCTTGTGCTGTAAACTCGTTGTAAACAAATTGAATTTGCGCAGCCATTAACCGTATTTATTTTAGATCTCCTTTTATGTGTCTTGTTTACTTCTAACTAGAGGTTAAACAATTTCCCTGATAAAGCGTATCATACATCGACTCATTGCTAATTCATTCATCGAGAGGAGGCCTCGGCTTGAAACTACTATCTCTAGAACTTGAGACTGGTTTTCTAATCTCCTCGTATGAGATTATTCAATTTTCCTTTGTAGTGAAATTCTGCCCGCTGGGATTTTCCTCATCGGTTCGAAGGGAAAAAAATTCCAAATGTTAGTCATTTATTTACTCCGGTGATGCAAAGTTCCATACAAAATAATGATGCATGGCTTCGTTGTATAAATTGTAATAGTGATTAATCATGTGATATAGTGTATTAGCAGTAATTCAAATAATAATAGAAATATTACTATAGAAATAGGGGGAAAGGGAAAATGTAATATTGCTTAACGGTAGTAGAGTGATAATGTAAATACTTTGTATGGCATTAACCCTGAACTTTTCAATGTTTCGTTCCAGCTATCTACAGTGGTGGTTCTTCGTCCAGTGGAGGCACCGATATCCTGGACCTTTCGATGCCGGACAAGAATTCAGTCACCGAAGTGTGTTACGTCTGTGGAGATGAGTTCAAGAGAGGCTCGCTGAGTCACATTGCTGCGAAGCCACTGCCAAAGCCACCGCATCCAGCATCCAGTCCACCTCCATTTTTTCCATCGCTGATGCTGCATCCAAGACCCAGCAGGAGTCGACCGATGGACAGTGCTGGACGAGTTCAGGTTGAGATCTCTCTATAGAATAGCCTAAAGATATTAATTAAAAAAAGTCTACGGTCCAGTTACAATGAATTAGGGTTGCGACAAATTTTTGGACCCGCTTATGTGACATGATTTTTTTTTTTTTCTGTACATCTTACATGTCGTTTGGTCATCAGGCTTGCTCGGCGTGTCAAAATCATTTGCTGCTCCAATGGAAAGCATACACGAGGCAAGGTGTGTCCCATGGGGATCGGAATTACACGCTCCGGAAACGGCAAGCGCCGACGATGGACACGACCACCTTCATCTGTTACACCTGTGCCCTAGAGTACCCTTCCTCAAGTATTAGACTGCTTTACTGCTGCCCGAACCCCGAGAAGGAGGCGTACTTCCCCTTTATTTGCTCCCTGAGACCACCACCTGGGGCGAGTCCCATAAGTCCCCAAGGAATGGTCCAGGTCTGCTCCATCTGCTACAAGGCCATTCCCCAGAAGCAGCAGGTCTTTGGCGGGGAAAACCACGAGGCTCAGCCTGCCGCGCAAACCGTCGACTTCCGCCAGCAAGGTAATCTCTAAACGGACCTAGACACTAATTACGGTAATTATAAAACCAGGGATGGGCAGATGGAACTGGTCGTGACTCAACTGCTGAAGAGCGTGCAGGAAAATTCCAAACGCGTGGGCGCAGAAATAGGAATAGGAATTTCAGAGAAACGTCCGAGGAGTTTGTTTTATGGAATGGATTTTTATGCATGGTGTTGATGATTTTATACCGCTAGGACGTTACGTTACATGTGATCTCGTTTCCAGGCCAGTCGCCGAGGCCAGCGGTGCCGAAGTCACCAGCTAATTCAGCTGGCAGCGACATACGATTCAAGCCCTACGATTTGAACAAGTCCAGCGTCGCTACGAATAAGCAACGCACCGTCTCCGCCAAAGGACCCACTTCCGGCCTCAGAAATTCACCGAGCATCGGCCCCACCGAGAATGGGACCGTCGTTCTCGGACAGAACTATAGGTGCTACATTTGCGAGAGACTCTATCCACGTACGAACATGGAATGGTGGGTTTCGTCGTTCGTCGTCCGAGGAATCGATCGTATATGAAACTAAACCTGGAAGGATTACCGCAGTTTCGATACGCGTTCGGAGCATTCGGACTGACTCGTGATTATTTTTCTCGCGACAGGTTGTCGACGAGTCCGGAGGGCATGAATTCCCACGCCATGCACTTCCCCTGCCTGAGAGGTATGGCGCGCACCTCGGAAAACGCCTGCATGGACAGTCACGGTCGAGTCCTGGCATGTGGTCATTGCGTCAATCACCTCGCCCAGCAGTGGGAAATTATGGATGCTGAAAGAGTCCCGTTAGAACGTCGCAGGTGTGTATTCAACGATACGAGTTCTCCGGGGGAAACGTGGCTTCCCTTTTACGCAAGCGGAGAGCCGTCCTTACCTTCGGATGCGATCCGTACAACGTAACTTTAATTCCAGATACGATATACCTAGTCCACACCCAAACGGCGACGTGAACCGTTCCATAGCAACCCCGCCGAGCTCCAGCTCGGACCGGACCTTCGGCAGCAACCCTGGGACCTCCAGCAGCTCTATCTACTGTTTCCTATGCGGTCTTCACAGCGACCTCACCCTGGCCAGGGTGCTGTATGGTCGTCCTCAGGGTCGGAACGCGCCCTTCTTTCCGGAGCTCCTCCGCCATCAGTCGCACCCGAACGCGGAGCAGCTGCGGAAAGACGGCTCGGCCCTGGTCTGCACGTTTTGCTATCACTCTCTTCTGGCCCAGTGGAGACACTACGAGAAGCTATCCGGCGGACAGCAGGTTAACACCGTCGAGAGACAGTACAACACCCACGACTATTGCTGCTACGTGTGCGGGATCATCACCTACCGGAAGAGGGTGCGGGCCCTTCCCGTGAAGGACTTCCCCTTCCTCAAGAACCACAAGCAGCTGGAGAAGAGCTTGCTGCTGGAGAACGGGGACTTCGCCGTCGTCTGTTTGGACTGCTACGAGACCCTTCGGACTCAGAACCTCGAGTACGAAAGGTGGGGCTTGCCCGTCGAGAAGAGGGAGTACAACTGGATCGTTCAACCTCCGCCACCCGAGGACAGCCCCGAAGCTGCCATCGCGAGACTACCATCCGGCGAGAGGTCCGAGAAGGTGGTTAGTTCGTTTAATTTTTTTTTTAACGCTGGTTAGGACGAGACACTGGTCGCAACTGCTCTCAGACTTAGAGGTGTACTCGGTGGAACTTTTAAGGTTCCTATTCTTGAACTGGAGTAATTTATTTATTTTTTTTATTGTTAATTTCCCTGACATTTTAAATGCAGCATGTATTTAAAAAAGGAATCTAAAAGGCGACACCCTGTATGACGTTGACATTTTTTTTTTTTTTTTTAATCGGGCTTGACGGTTCATACTGTAATCGCTAGAAATTATTCATGGACGGAGGTGCGAGCATTTGCGAAGTGCTTTTCTCACTTGTTGAACGCACGACTCGTCGGATCGATTTTTATGTAACGCTGATTATGTTTTTCAGGTGCCACCGACATTGACGGTTCGACCGACGAGGAAGAATTGCTCGCCCAAAGCTCCCGAGAAGAAGGCGTCCGTTAAAGTGCCGGAGAAAGAGCAAGGTGAGTACCTTTGGTGGTTATCTATTTAAGCGAGTTGACGAAGAGATCGTTGGAGACGAGGATAAGAGCGAAGCGCAAGTTTTCTACCCTGAAGAGGAACGCCTTTGCGCATTTCTTTGAGATACCGGTAGATGGATAAGTCGCGATGCAATCGAGAAATTCAATTCCTGTGGAATTTGGCACAAGAAAATAATACCGGGTCAGCATTTTGGAAGTCGCTGTACTTCGACATCTGACGTGGAAGTTGAACTAGTTCCGATTTTTGCCTCAAACCGAGCGTGAAAATTGGCTCTTCAAGTCCCACTCGTGACTCCTCCCGGTGTAACGAGACTTCTCGAGAGATCCGCAATTCAGATCCGAGGGAAAAGCGCCCTCTACTTGGCTTTCTCTGAAGCTCCCTTTCTCTCTCTTTCTCTCCTGCTTTTTAATTAAAGGGATAACCGACTTCTTGAAAAGCCCTTCCGCGGCGCTTTTCCCTCTTTCTCGCGCTCCCATGTCCGTATTACTGTAGCAAAATTAACTCGGGTTTTATCTCGAGGGGCGCGCGACTGCCCCTCCTCTTGGACTTTTTTAAAATTAAAACCTTCCCGGGAGTAAGCGACTTCCGAAGGGAAAATCGCAAGGTAGGACAAGGGCGAGGGGAGACATCGGCGGAAGGACTTGACGAGGGCTCCTGGAAATTACATTTTTTCTTTTTCCTCGACGTTCGGTCGCACCTATATCCCGTGATTATCTCACATCTCGAGGGAAAAAAAAAAGAAGTAATACTAATTAAAACTGGCGAACGAATGTTTTCCTATAATCCCCCGAGGGAAGCGAATAAACATTAAGATATCGATTTAAAGAAAAAAGTAAGAGAGAGAAAAGGAGAATTTCAGGAGACGAAAATTGGGATTAAATTATGGGGAGACCCCTCGTGAAATTTTTTTCCCTTATCTCTCTTGATGTTATCGGATATATCGAAAATTATACCCGGATGGCACGGCGTTCCCTTGGACTCCGATTTAATGCGGAACGAGTCTTGCGGAAATCGAAGGGAAAATCCCCGAAAGGGAGAATCTTAGCTTTTCGGTCACAGAAATATCTCTTTGGGGGGGGGCGGCTCTTCTCTTTAATATTTGCCAGAGATGCCCGGACTTATCTTCGCTCGTATTTCAGCCGTATCTTCATCCCACGGGCACCCATCCCACATCCTTAAGGCCACTTCACGAGCCTTAATGGCCCTCCTGACCTTAGGCTAGGGATGTCGTCTCTCGTAAACGATAAACTTCCCCTCGTTTTATCGTCCCTCCCTCTCGGTCCTCCTCCCTCCCCTCGGAAAATACCGGCGGGCTATTTATATTTATCGCGGTGCCGGTGCGCGCGCAGTCGGTGCACTTTATTTCTGAATCACTTTGTGACGGGGGTTATCCGCGATTAAGATTAACCGAAACCCGCGGATCAAAATTAATTATCGATTTCCCGAACGGGAACGCGACTCGTCTCCCTTGGACGCCCTCTTCTTACGGATTCGTCGCAATTAATGACGGCGTCGACTTTGGCCGGCGTTTAATACGCTTTTTTTCTTTTTTTATACCCTTATTTATACCCTGTGCAAGTTGTAACGGTGGCTGGACTATATCCTTCGATTTCACCCCGGGGCTCGTATAAGGGTGATCGATTTCGTGCGATATGTGCCCATAATTATGAAAGTGGTCTAAGTCATATATCTTTTGTTTCGATATTACATTGAATTAATTTCGTTTGAAATAATATGGCGTGAAATAACTGATAAACTCATTTTTTTTTTTTTTTAATTTTGACTTAGACCACTTTCATAATTATGGGCACATATATTCATCGTCGGGTCTAAAAATGCAACGTTTTCTCGGGAGGAAGAATTATAGTCTACATTAATTTTTTTTCTTCTTTCTAAAGTCGTCCTGGGTCCTTCTCAGGTCGCATGGACCTCTCCCTCCTCTCCCAGGTCCCTCCCAATTCCGCGATAGATTCGCGAGGGAATTCCATTATTGGCGGAAGGTCGAGGGCGGGAGATTATACGAGTTTCGCGTAAAGTCCTTTCTTCGTTCTCCCTGCCGAAGGAGCCGGGGGTGGAGGGAGGGAGAGAGAGAAAGAAGGCCGGCGAAATTCGTTCCTCCCGGTCGATGGGAAAATGGCGGCCGGCCCTCCTTTGCCTTCTCTCGAGCGGGGGATGCTAAGTGCATATATACGCACTTGAACAAAGACACTTTACCGCCACCTTTGGCTTCCTTCCTGGACGGGGGGATGACGGGGCCCGGAGTGGAGGGATCTCTTGTGAAAACCGGACAAAAGGATGCAAACGCCGCCCTTACGGCGGCGGGTTGCAGAGACTTTCTTTTTTTTTTTTTTTCTTTCCCTCCACTTTTCAATTCCTCCCGAGCTCGGATTCATTTCTCGAATTCGATGACGCGTCGCCATATTTTTTTCCCCCTCTCAAAACTTCCCCAATTTTTTTTTTTCTTTCCTCTCCCTCCCACAAATTCACTTCCCAAGCTCCGAAGCGTCGTCGACTTTTTCTCTTAAAATTATCAACCCCTTTTTTTTCCCCCATTCTGATTTTTTTTTTTTTCATTTTTCCCCTTTAATTCGCCCCCATCGGAGGTACCGCTTGTACAAGGGGCTCTTGAAAATCCCCCGTCAACGCGATAAATAATCCCGCAACCCCGGTCTCCTTTCCCGAGGGGTACGCCGTGGGCGCTAACTCGTAGGGGGTGGGTCCAGATCTCCGCGAAATGTAAAATCCGGAGATAAAGATACGTCGAGGGGTGGGGGTGGGGNAGGGGGGGGGGCTCGAGGGGCGGTGAAATATCTTATTACAGTTTCGAGAAGGAATCTTCCCTCTCCCCGGGGTTGAGCCTCCCGGGTCTCCGGTGGATGACGCAATTTGTATAATTCCGTTGTTACCCCCCGCCCTCTCAGGAGGGTGGTAACTACCCCCTTCGGGTGCCACCGTCGTCACCCCTTCTCGCGGTCGTAAACCAGGGCTCGTTAATGTACACTCCCCCTCCCCTCCTGAGTAGTCATAATCACGATTCATTAAATCGGATCTCACTGCCGAGTCCCGACGAGTTAGACCCCCGTTTATTATTTAAGGAGTTGTTCCCGAATCGCGGAGGGAACATTAGCTCGGGGGGTGGGGGGTGAACGACCCCTCGACGCGGGGAAAATATTTGGCTGCGTCGAGAGAGTTTTTCTTCGGAATGGAAAATGAAGGATGAGGGGGGGAGGGAAGCGGATCACTATCCGAAACTCTACCAACCCCCGCCACCCCCCGTTGAAATTTTCTCCCTTCGTCGGAGGAAATTCCTTGACGCGCGGACGACGTGCGTGCACGTCGCACGCGGGTTGCGTGCGAGTGCCTCGGCAGGGGGTGATTTATGGGGACGATAACGTCGGGGGTGGACCTAAGAGGGTGTAATGTCGGCGTTAGCCGGCGGATAACGCTTCGAAGGGTGCACTTTTCGCGGAAGCCGAGGCGTCGATCCGGCATCGCGTTATTTCGTGAAATGTCTCCCCCTCCCCCCCCTCCCTCTAACGACCCCATTTCGGAAGATTTCGGTAATTCCCTGAATCATCTGGATTTTTAGTCACGCCATTTTGCGGGGTCCCTTAGAGTTAACCTCCGTTTAACCGTGTTAACCGAGCCGTCAATTTGCGGTGTTTCCTGGAATTATCGGAGATTCTATCATGGGGTAGTTTTGGAAAAATTGTGGATTTTAATGAGTAGCGATTCGAGGTGACTCGCCCTGTATACCTAGGGGAAACCGGGGGGGGGGGGCAATTCGAGATGTCGCGGGCGTATCCGGGGGTCGCGAAGGTCCCCAGTGTCAGGGGGGAGGCGCAGGGGTTGGGGGTGGCGGCGTCGAGGGGTAGTAGCCGGCCGGGCCACCCCCTAACCTCCCGACCCGTCCGCTCTTACGTCCCCTAAGAAACAGGGCGCCACAAGCGCCCGCAGCGTGACACCGCATTGCGCCCACTTGGCAACCCGGCCGACACCTAAATTCGAATTAGGGTTGCTTCCCTCCTCTCCTCCCTGGCCTATCACGCCCTTGCATCCCTTATTCGAGCCCTACCCCGGCGGGGGGAATCGATATCACCGTCATCGAGTATCTCCTGCTCGAGGAAGCCACACCAGGGCCCTCGTCCTAGGTGGCACGACTAAACGACTAAACCCTCCGCTATCTCGAGATTGAAGCTCGCCGGCGGATTCCTCGGGGAAGGGCGATTCCGAAAGCTCCTTTGCGCGATCCTCTGCGGTCGGTGGTTCCCGAGATACGAGCGTTCGAAGGTCAGCCAATCGCGCGGCGGCCCGGACGAAAGGGGGCGGGGCGTTCTGGGCGGACGGCAGCTCCCATTGGCGGGCGCGGCCTGGTGGGCGGGCGCCGTTTCCGCTGGAGCCGGCGCGCGATTGGCCGACTTAGGAGCCGGATATCTCGGAAACTAGCCGCCGTAGAGAGTCCGGGAAAATAGGTTTCTCGGCCGATTTTTTACGGGGAACCCTAAAATGGGACCGTTTTAATCCTATGGGGTGCGGCAGGCAGAACTCGCAGTTCGAAGTTTCCCTTTTACTCCGGTAGGCCGGGACCGACCATAACCCCTTCGCCGTCGTCGATTTCGAGACTCGGGTATTCGGTGGCCCGGAAAAGCCCCCCCGAACCCGCGACCGCTCAACCGACCCCTCGGGCACGGTATTTACATCCGACCGATCGCGAGCAATGTCCGCCACTTTGCCACCCGTCGCGGGATTAGCCCCCTTCCGACCCCGGGACTTCCGCAGGGGGCGCGTACCCCTTTCGGCGAGCCTTTCAACTCCCCCCATCCGGCAAACTCGTCCCCCCGTTTCCGTTCCCTCGCTCTCGCATTAACGAATCCTCGGCGAACTAATCCCGTTTCGGGGATTAATGCCCATTTTATGCATGTTTTTTTTATTTCTTATTAATACCGGGCCCGGTAATGTTCATCCTCCTCTGTTATCCGTC